AGTTTGTTAGCTCTCATCCAGTCTTTAACAGCCTCAAGGCCCCGGTTCATCACGTCCACCGCTTCATTGAGTTGGCATGGGGCGGACAGATACAACTGTGTATCGTCCGCGTATTGATGGTATTTTATCCCGTGCCTCTGAATGATCTCGCCCAGAGCCATATCTACCAGCAAGTGAGCCATCAGCTCCAGTGTGCTGGCCAGGAGGAAGCCATTTGCGCCCTTCCCAGGCTTCAGGAAAGTCTCTGGACCCCGGGGAGAGCAAAAAATGGGCCCAATGGGCCTATTGGAAGTTTGGAAATGATCCATTTCTGGAATCTGGAGGGCCTCTGGGGGTCTGGGGGAGGAAGTTTTCACCCTCCAAAGGCTTTAGGAAAGCCTCCAGAGCCTGGGGAAGGTGAAAAACTTTCTGAACTTCTGGTAGGCCTGTTGGTCCTGTTTTTCGCCCTTCCCAAGCTCGGAGGCTTTCCTGGAGCCTGGGGAGGACGAAAATGGCCTCTCCTGACTCCCAGAGGAAATACCAAGCTCAGCTTGGAGGTGAGCAGTGTGGTGTGCATGGGGGCGAGCATGTTTTTTTTTTGTGTGTGTGTGGATGCTCATGTGGAGGCGTGCTTTACATTATGGGTGCTGGTATGCACATATGCTATTACGTGTGTTCGCATTTTGGCACCCAATAACAAAAAAGGTTAGACATCCCTGAACTATAGAATTATTATGTAGCTGCAAATGTAAAGAACAAAATATTTATATTAAAATGTGGATATCTATGTAATAACTGGCTTGTATATAATATGTGTCCATATTTTCATTTTCATCTTTAATTTAGACAACATCACTTACATCCGGGATACTGAATGATCCTCATCGCTGGTTAGCAGAGACAAAAGTAAGAGCAGATTTTTTAATATCTGAATTAAAATTTACTATATTAGTTAATGTGAATTAATTCCTTAGTAATTGTTCTGACCTAGGGTTCCTAATACAGTAAAAAGCACACGCTTAATCCCAAAAACCTTCTTTTTATTTCAATGGCTGTGAATTATGTTCATTCACAGCCCGTAATGAGTCACAAATAGTTTGTAAAGAATCCAACAGAAGTCTGCCACAGTCCTTCGGTATAAGGCTGATATACCTGCCCACATTTATCTCCCTTGAAACGCTGTCAAAGACCTAATTGGCAATTAGCTTTGCAAGACCACAAGGAGCACAGAGTCAAAACAGAGCTTCAAAATGTAACCTGACCAGAAAGAACAAAGTTGCTTCCTGCAAAGGCTTACGTGCTTTTACTCTTCCTTTATGTCTTATGGGACATTATCTTCAAGCCCTATTGCTGAGTCATCCCTTTTGTCTTAACCGTTCTTCCCTTCTGGCAGGTCTGCACATGTGTGCACTGGGAACAGGCTCCCCCTGTTCCTCTGCCTCGCTGATGTCCAACTCTGGAGACTCCGGAGGCAGTACATAACTCCCAGATGGCCCTGGCCCCCTCTCTGCCTCTGATGCAAAGCCCTTATCCAAGCCTTCCTCAAACTCCAAGACTGGTCAATTTTCCTCTCCAACCTCTTCACTGTCCGACTCTGCTGCCAGCTCTGCAGGCCAGCGGTGGACCACAACAATAATTAAGAGGAAATGTACTGTTCTCATGTCTCATGTTGTGTTCGCTATATCCCAGTAATACTTTCATGTATTTAAATATTTGGCCCTTCCCTATAGATATTTAATATTTATATAAATCTGCCAGATATCTAACTTTGTAGAAAGGTGGGAGCACGCTAGAGGTTTCACTACATTCTGTGAATGCAGTTTGTAACATTGTAGAGTTTGTTTGTTTGTTTGTTTGTTCACATTCCTGAAGCACACATCACCCTCAAAGAGGAATTCTGGACAACGTGCAATAAAAGATGTTAAAATATAAAACTATGTATAAAAGTTAAAAATTTTAAGAAGAGGCAAGGAATTAAATTGATGAAAATTGATGGATGTGAACAAACAAACTATTCTGCCTCCTCCCAGTCCCTAAGTGAAGCCCAAAGGGATACAAGCAGTGGTGGCACAGTGGTTAAAATGCAGTACTGTAGCAGAGTACTGCTCACTCTAGGAGTTCAATTCTGCCCGTCTCAAAGTCGGTTCAGCCTTCCATCCTTCCGAGGTCGGTAAAATGAAAACCCAGATTGTTGGGGGCAGTATGTGACTCTGTAAACCGCTTACAGAGGACTGTAAAGCACTAAGCAGCAGTATATAAGTGCTATTGCTATACTATGGTTGATGATATTGAAAGTCACCAAGAAATCAAGAAAAGCAAGGATGAATGTACCACTTCCATCCCACCAGAGATCATAAGTGGGACCAATGTCATTTTGGTTGCATATTTGGGCCTAAAACCTGAAGAGTATCTTCAGTACCTGACTGAAGAGTACAGCTAATTTGTTTTCCCCAGGATCCTTTGTAGTTGCCACTCCACCGCTTTCTGAACCACTTCCTATATAAAGGAGAGGGGGGAGACTGGACAAAAACTATTCAGAATGGTAGAGTCCAGTGATGGCTTCTTGAAGAGGGGACACATTAGTGCCTCCAGAGCACCCCCTCCAATATGGATGAATTGACCATTGCTTGAACCCATCCATATGACTCCTTGGGATGGTCTTAACCAACAAGGAGGGGCAAAGATCTAATGTACAGGTGGTGGGGTTTACATTTTGGAGGCCCCTGTGCGCTTCTTCAGGTTTAGCAGATAATTGGGTAGTTCCAGATAACTAGGAAGGTAATTGCAATGCTGTAATGCAGCTAGCTATTCATTCCAAAAGAAAATTCTGTGATTTTAAATTGTATATGCTAATAGCACTATTCAATTATATTCTAAATGTGTAATGAAAGGGCACCATCCCTTTCATTCCTCGTTTTCAAATGCTGGTCTTAATTGTCTTGAATTCACATATTTCTCAAACCTTTTATGAGACATTTGAACTCTGATTCCTTTTTCCTATAATCTTTGGTTCCTTTTTTTAAGCTTATTAGATCAAGACATTGCCTGTTAAGATCTAACCATTATTTTTTTTAGTTTAGTGACTTTGTAAGCAACTTTATCTTGTATCTTTTAATAATGTTAAATTTCTCTCAATTGGAAATGCTTTTTCTACTTCATGAGACAAGGCTTGTCTTCATTGTATATTAGGGTCACAATGAAAGGAGAACTGTTGACCAACTGACTTAGGTGAAATTGCATTTGTTTGCTCGCAAGATTGCCTGAAGTTATTGATGGGTTTGTTTGTAATGCCCATGGACCAGGAATGAATATCACCATAAATAGTGGAGATAAGAGTTTGAACTGGAGGACAAGGGCAGTAGAGGAAACAGACTCACTATTCAGATTGTTCATGCTGAAACTCCAGGCACTAAGTATCAAGAAGGGGATGCGGTAATTGATTCATAAATCTGCCAGTTGAGTCCTCTTTGGTTATTAGTAGGTTAGTCATGAAATAAAAGGGCCTTTGAAAAACTGTATTTTGCACCTGAAAAACAAATTGACTTAATAATTGTTTTGTTAAGAAATACTGTTTTATCCATCAACTCTTTCACTGCCTGGATTCCTGCCTTTGCAACTGAACTCTGTGAAGAGATTAAATACAGTGCCCACTTTTAGAGGGCCAGAGCAATGAACTTTGTATACACAGTAAAATTTCTAAGAATGACCTTTCCAAAAGGAACCCTCTTTATCCTCTTGGAATTTCAAGGAGATTTTGGAAAGGAGCCATTTATTCAGAATATGGAGTTGCAGCTGGTTTGAAGGAAAGGCAGGATAAGGAAAATACTTTTGAATATGTCTGGACTTTATTAAAATGCTCTAGCTCTCAGATATTGGCATTATTTATAATGATTTTGGGTGAGGAACATAATAATGATAAAGAGAAAAAAGTCACAAGTGTGGCATGAAAAATCATAAAATGTGTTGCAGCGTTTATGCAGTGCACTTTTTACAGTCTTTACACTTTAAGTCAAGAAATTAAAAATGTATGTGATCTGTCCCATTTATCTGGTTTCCTTTTCCAATTTGTTAATGGATAAATGGAAGTGGCTTGTACATTTTATACAAAATGTTGATTTTAAAAAGTAGACAAGAAAATCAAGCAAGTCTTCTCCTAATGGGCTAGGTATGGGCCAGAGGTTTTGGACACAAGAGTCTGTGCAAACATGTCATTTTTCAGTTAAATGTGGAAGTGATACAATCCTGCCCTGTTATTAAGGGTACTATATAAATTGGCCCTATTTTCTAGACTCCCAATTAAGAACTGAAGAAATGTGTGGGATTTACATTCCCACAGAAAGTACAGGGCAGATGCCCTATTTCTGAAACTAATGATTGTAGGATATGATTTGAACAGCTGAGATTACTTAAGCACATTGAAATATTTGTGGAACATTTATTATTAGAAACATTTGGAACTGCTGTGATGAGGACCATATGTCAATTTTATTCCTTTGAAAAGTAAACACTTTTTCTTAGCTACTTGTAAGTAATTTGGAAAAAGAATATTTGTGTCCTCATTTTGCTGTTGTCATAGTCATTGGTATAAATGTATAAGGTATAAATTAGTGTAATTTATAATTACACTATTAAAAATTCAATGTTTTGAGCTGCATTGCTTACCTGGTTGTAATGGAATGTGTGGCTGACCTTGGGGAGAGGTGCTGCTTAGGAAACGATCAGACAAGAGAGGCAGGAGGCCCCAGTGGCTTAATAGTCAGAGATAGAAACTTAGGAAGGACCTGCAGTAAAGGATCAAGCAATTAAAAATCCTGGTAGGAAGTTTGTACTTTCAGACTTGCAAAATTATTACCAGCCTTCCCATTTAAATTAGGCAGGAAGCAGAACAAAACAAACTAATTCTATTTTATTGTAAGGCTACATTAATAATATCTTACATATTTGAAAGGGGTTTTTTTGTCTGATTGTTCCTAGGCTTATTTGTAAACCGGTCACAGTAGCCCTTTGACATTGTATCCTTGAGCTATGCCAAGACCCTTAATTGCTCAAGAAACCACCAATATTGAGCGGATTGAGTAATTGCTGAAAATTATGGTAGCACCCAACTGTGAGGCAGGCTATATTTATGGCTATTGATGTTGTCTACTCTCCATCTGTATTTGACCGAAATCTTCACAAATAAAGATTTTGAAAAAGCCCTTGGTTTGAGTTACGGGGCCCTTATCGTATTTTGAATTTCATAGATGTACATGATTGAACTGTATCTGATGAATGGCAAAGTTCTCATCCAGTATATTTAATAGGAATGTGTTTTCTTTTAGGCAAAACTTAGATGGCTTTGTGAAGAAGTGAAGGAGAGACAGACCAAGGAAAAGAAGCTTCGTCATCAACTACAACAGAGCCGAGAGCAATTAAAGCAGCTGAGCTTGAGCAAGGAGACCGAACACCAAAACCTCATAGATCAAATAGAAAAGCAGGAACAACTGCTAGAAGAAGTTTATCAAGAGAAGAAACGTGAGTTTATAAAATCATGTTAATTAACAGCAAAACTTTTTGAATTTCCCATGTCAGTCATACCTCTGATTAGACTAGTAAGCTCCCTCCCTCCCTCCCTCCCTCCCTCCCTCCGTCCCTCTCTTCTCTGTTTATAATAAAATAGCTGAAATCTTGAATTAGTTTAAAGTTGAGTTTTCTGTTAGAAATGGTAGTCCCCTGTTGCCTTCTTTACATCATGTAAGAGTTACATGATCTGAAGAAAAACTAGTATTGCCAGTGAATCTGACAGGTAATCTGCTTCTCCATGACATACTTAACCAACCTTGAAGTAACCTAGTCATTAGAGAGCTTTTACGCTGGCATGATGTCATGCCATCCCCTTGGCTGCCCTTGAAGGCTGATATAGGAAAACGTTCTACCAGGAGAGGCAATGTCCCTTTGACTCTGCACATACAGAAACAACAGAGCATGTGCTCCTCCAGTGTCTGTAAGACAGAGATATCTGTACTAGCCTCATCTCATCAATACTCCATATACAGTAAATACCCAAGTCTCACAGGACAATTTTATATCTCCCTGCTGCTTGCAGACACTAATCCTGCTATAAGATATACTGTTCTCAGGTTCTCTGCAGCAGTAATTAAAATTTCTCAGATGATGACCTGTGTCTCATGTCTGAATAAGTATTTAGCTTGTCAATTAGGAGTCTTGAGTATTGTGATAGATTTAGTTAGCCATATTAGCCACTTTTATGTTTCCCTACATTTGATTAACATTTTTACCCCTTTTTATGAATTTCTTTTTTTATATATTGATTTTGTTCTTTCATATACATACATACACACTAGGTTTTTAAAACATCATTTTACCCTTATGTATTTTATATTTTATAGCTTTTAAAATTACTAGTAGTTTGTTTCTCACCCTTCTTATGTGGGTTATGACTGTAATAGAGATATGATTGGATTAATTTAAATAAATTGACCCCAGAAAAACCAACACTTTCCCAGTGCTAGCCAAAGTGTTGAAAGTGAGGTGTTTTCAATGTGTTGAAAACATATGTCAAAAGATGAATTATATGCTTTGAAAGAATTGGAGAGTGCTGTTTTCAGGAGCATCCCTACTGTTGTGATAGGAATAATTCTGCTTTTCTGCTTTGAGCTGTGCTTCCTTACATTAAAGTATCTGCAAAAATTGGATATATAAGATAAGTAAAGTGGAGTAACTTATTTTCCAGTTGAAAGATTAGAGGCATGCCGTGAGCTGCAAGAAACAAAATTTAAAACAAAGCCCTATTCATTTTAAATTCATTCTGTCTACCTAAAAAAACTATAGAATTTCTCCATGTTTTACTGACAACTTTCTTTCTCTTGTACCACTTAAAGAAATATTTTTCTATCTTATTTGTATCTCAGCACTAAAAATGGTTAATATTGTAAAATGACCCCAAATATTTTAATTATGTTTGTTTTTAGCTAATTATGCATTCTATTGGTGACTGATATCTTTTTCTCAAAGCAAATAAAATCTGTACATTTGCATTATTAAAATGAACTGTTATCAGTTGCGCAGTTATACAAGGTAGAAATGTCATAATCTATTTTTAGGCTATTTTGCTTTAGAAAAAGAGATCTTTTCTACAAATATACATACAAATACAAATATTTGTATACAAAATAAATACAAATATATATACTGTATATACTCGAGTATAAGCCTAGTTTTTCAGCCCACTTTTTGGGCTGAAAAAAGCCGCCTCGGCTTATACTCGAGTCAGTGAAAAATTTGCCCGAAATGGAGGAGAAAAAGGGGCGGGGCCATGCCGCTGGGTGACACTCGTGA